TTGTCCTGGCCCTGAGCTTTTTAAACTTGTATCTAGGTTTTTTTTGTTTTTCTTTCCTGCGAGGGCCGAGCGCGAGAGACAGTAATCCTGCTCCCAAGTCATAGCCCCCGGGAGTGGTGATGGCCACGCGCGGGCCGCGGCTCCGGCCGGCGTGGTTTCCGCGGATGGCGGTATCCTTCTGAACCCTCTGACTGTGGGAATCTGGGCCTGGCTAGTCCGTGCTAATTGTCGCTGTGAGTGTGTCCTGACGCAGGGACAGTGCCCTCCCCGGACTCCGCCCCGCGGCCGCGCGAGGAGGCCACATCATAACCTCAACGTCCGAATCCTTGTTTTGCAGTTTTAGTGGGTTTTTTGGTTGTTTTTTGTTGTTGTTTTTGCTTTTCTGCAGCCTCAGGGAGAGTTAGTACTTGGCTTCCAGTAAGCGCTCCGTTAAGTCCGTGGCAAATCCCGAGAGAGGCAGGGTGGGGAGGCATCTGGCTGAGAGTCAGGCCATTGCAGGGTGGGGCCGTGTTTATGGAAAATTTTGATAATTAGTGCATCCTCGTTCAGCGGTTCTCAACCTGTGGGTCGCGACCCCTTTGGGGGTCGAACGACCCTTTCACGGGGGTCGCCTAAATACATCCTGCATATCAGCTATTTACATTACGATTCATAACAGTAGCAACATTACAGTTAAGTAGCAACGAAAATAATTTTATGATTGGGTCACAACATGAGGAACTGTATTTAAAGGGCCAGAAGGTTGAGAACCACTACATTAGACCATCAGTTGATTTCTCAATAGAAACATTTCAGGCCAGAAGAGAGTGGTATGAAGTAGTTAAAGTATTAATTACCCGCCTGGCAGTTAAGAGGTTTTATTCCCTCCCTAACTTCAGGGGAAAATCTCTACCTGGGGAAACAACCTTTCTTGGAGAGGTGACCTTGGTTAAAACACATAGTGCCAAGAAGGTGAGCAAATATATTAAGAACAGTATGCCATATATGCCAGGTCCCTTGAAACAGCAAGGATGGACCGGCTCCCAGCACTGTCCTAGTTCTTTGCATACATTTTATTTTTTTTTAGAATGTCGTGTTGAGTTAGTATTTTTCTTGGTTACTGAAAATTTGGCATCTCCTTGTTTTGTTTTTTAATTTAAAGTGGGAGAGTTTCTTAGTGAAGCGTTTATTAGGGGGAGAGAGTGAAGGCGGAGCAGTTGGGCATCCCCTTAAATTCTGCACCTTTAGTCATGTGTCTCCCATTACATGCCTGGCCCTGGTGCGAGGGCGGGAGGTGCAGGTGGAAAAGAAGTTCAAGTTCTGGCCTTCGGGGAGCTGACATAGTCAGCATCGGTCAGGACTGTTGAGTTTCTAGGTGTAAAATGAGCTGCAGAGGGAACTGCCTTTGTTCTTCCTGCAAATTCTTACTGTCTGCCACCTCTGAGACTGTCGGGATTGAGTGAAAATAATTGGGACGTGGTACCTGTCCGCGTGCTTACTGTCCGGGCCTGCCCCCTAATAGACACGAAATGCTCAGTAGATAGTCTTTGAGTAAGAGCATCATGGGATACAAGGGGGAGGACATAGCACATATAAGACACAGCTATAATGGAACGTCGGGGAGTCGAACACATCTAGTTGTAGGACTCCTTATAGAACGGTGGGTTACTTGTACGACAGGGTTTCTCGGCCTCCGCACAGCTGACAGTTTGGGCCAGATGCTTCTGTTGCGGGCCGGGCTGCCCTGCGCAGTGTAGGGTGTTCGGCAGCATTCCTTAGCCTGTACTCCCTGTGTAGCCAGCTGTCTCCAAACATCGCCAGATGTTCCTTATGGGGTGAGAAAGCCTGTTGGCAAGAACCACTAGTGTAGAGTGGAAAGGAAGGAAGCCTTCCATGGCGTAAGAAACAAAATCAGGGCAAGCTTAAGCCAGGTGCGTTTATTTGTAAACAAAAATATGCAGTTTGGTATGACGTACGGGGTGGTGTGTAAAGTGGGCTACTTTGAAATGATGCTGGATACAGATACGGACATCCACACGCTTAAGAATCAGTTGTTTCTTAAGGGAGGCAGTGGGAACCTGCCAGCTCTGACCCAGGGAAATTTTGTCATCAAATGAGCTGGAGCCACACCCTCTCCCACTGGCCTGCCTTGACCCCTTGGGGAAGGGAAGCCCCTTCCAACGGTGTTCTATCCTTGGACAACCTCAGTCCTAGTGTATGAGTGCTCCCCAATAGCTGATCCCATTATCAGCTAAAACATTTGATCAAAATTACCCCATTAAAAGTAATGGTATGGCCTGGCCAGTGTGGTTCAGTTGGTTGAGCATCACCCCAGCACCAGGAGGCTGCAGATTGGATTCCCAGTCAGGGCACATGGCCTGGTTGCCTGCTCAACCCCCAGTAAGGGGTGTGCTGAGGCAGCCAATGGATATTTCTCTCATTGATGTTTCTATATCTCTCTCCCTCTCCTTTCCTCTCTAAAATCAGTAAAAACACTCAAAAAAATGTAATGGTATGGTTTCTGTTTTCTGACTAGACCTTAACTAATACAGTATTTACTGTCATATTTCTACTATATGTTTGAAGTGTTTTATAATAAACCAATTTTGGATCAGTCATTAAATATCTTACATAAAACAATGACTTTCCTTTGTCTATTTCTTTTAAGGGGTCCAAAATACATAACCAGAGCCATGATTATATTGTATGTATATTTTTACTAATACATTTTGAGAGATTTATTTACATAAACTCTTAAAAATATGCATATTGCTCCTGTTAACTCATGTTTCAAGACAATATTGGTGATTATTTACACACAATCTGATTTGCTGTAGTAGAATTTTTCGTTAGTTGTCAAAGTCTTTAATAACAAATCAATTTAAAGTTTTTTGGAAATAATTTCTACTAACGATTCATAATCCGCATAGTCTTTCAATGACTGTACAAGTTCATCCAGGAGGTACTCTCCTTGCATAAACGTTTCAAGATCATGAAGTGACGTGTTTATTCTGTGATCTGTGACACGATTCTGTGGAAAATTGTATGTCCTTATTTTCTCTGACCTTCCTTTACTTCCAATCTATACATACATAAAAAAAGATATGAGATACAGTTAAATTCAGGGCAACTAAACCTACAAATTTCACATAACTGGAAATTAAGCTCTTGCTTTATAATCTGAAACATAATGTAAGAAGCAAGTTTTAACCTGACTCCTCAAATAACATGGGAACAGAGAAAAAATAACAGGGGCTTTACAGGCAGACAAATTAGTATTTGAATCCTGTGCCACTTCAGTGTTCTAGGACTTGAGGCAATTTATTTCAACTTTAGTTTCCCCATCTGTAAAATACAAGTAATACCTACTACACAGTGATGATGTGTACATAAAAGGTGGCACAGTGATACTCAAATGGTAACTATATATAATCTCTGTGAATTTAGTTATCTTCAATGATGACAAAGTGATGTATTTCCCATTAATACAGTATGAGTAAAATGTCTCTGTAGTTAAATAATAGGAAGAAAGTTCAGTTCGCTTTCCATCTTCCATAATTTTCAGAATGGAGACGCCATATATCTATCTGTTTTTAGTTAAGTGACTGAAAGTCTGAGAAAAACGCCCTTGAACACAGAAGCAGAGCATAGGTATAAGATTACTATAAAAACAGAATTAAATGTTTATCCTTTAAAAGTATTTTCATTTCAGTTTTACCTGAATCTTTCTAGCATTGTATCTTTTATTTGTTTCTTCTTCAAGCTGCATGCTGTACAGTTTTGCACGTAACTTTTTCATAGCCATCTCTTTATTTTTCAGTTGAGATCTCTCTTGTTGGCATTCAGAAACAACACCTGAATAGTGTTATGAGAATCGAAGAGTTTTAATTAAAAAAAATTATCTTCATTTTATTATTAAGGAATACTTTTCCTTCTCATCCTTTTTCGTCTTCCTTTATGAGGAGAAAAATAGGATTCTAATATAAAAGGAAGACTGAAACAACTTATAGTTATCAGAAAACTCAAAATTTAAGTGTGAACTAGAGCACAAAGTATTTCCATTTTGAAGGCATACATACTACACAATAAAAATTAAGACCCTGAGACATGCATCTCACCACTCCAACTGCTCCGAAGCTGGCAATGGAGGGACCTATGAAGATCGGACCTTTACATTTTGCCCAGCGGGAGCTGGGACACCTACTGCTGAGACATAGAACTATTCTATTCTTTTGGGAAGAAAGTCACAGATGGGGACCTTTATACTTTGGGACCCATCGTCTGGAAAAAGGATGCAGGGATGATTTTTCTAAAGGTTGCAGTAACGTCCTGTGGTGAATGTCCGATTTTTACCAGGTGTTTTAGTTATTGTCTTTAAGTATCTAATAATTACAATATGAATTGTTCTGATAATTTCGCCCTCCCTGAAAGTAATGGACATACTACCAGCTGCTGGCTGGTTAGTTTCTGATTTGTGAAGTAACTATTTATTCATATATTCCTGCAAACAGCGCACGCGCGGGCGGGGGGGTGGGGGGGGTGGTTATTTCTTGGGATGAACGACCATCTTTATGCTCCAGAAACATCACATGATCCAAACCAAAAGAGACCTTCTCACAGCCGTGGCACCAGATTGCAACAAAGATCTCCATCTGCGTAGAGCCATGCTGAATATACTGCTTTAACCATTTTTGTTACGCTAGTAGTGGGGCTCCCTTAATGTAGAAGTGACCTGGCTGGCTTGTAGCATGGTAAAAGCCCTGAATGCCACTACTAGACTTACATATGGGCTAAATCAAGAGCTGAGCCAGATCAGGGAGGCAGTTCCAGAGAATCAGGCAGCAATAGATTATTTGCTCTTGTGGCACAAATGTTAGGGGCAAAAATAGAACATTGGGGACTAGCTATGCTTATGGGAAATATTAATCATGTTCTGTTAACCATGATTGCCTTATTCTGATTTAAGAAAGGATATTCTAGCCGAAACCGGTTTGGCTCAGTGGATGGAGCGTCGGCCTGCGGACTGAAGGGTCCCGGGTTCGATTCCGGTCAAGGGCATGTACCTGGGTTGCGGGCGCGTCCCCAGTGGGGAGTGTGCAGGAAGCAGCTAATCGATATTTCTCTCTCATCGATGTTTCTGGCTCTCTATCTCTCTCCCTTCCTCTCTGCAAAAAATCAATAAAATACATTAAAAAAAAAGAAAAAAAAAAAAGAAAGGATATTCTAGCCTGGCTGGGAGTTAGAAACCCAGGGAGTCACCCTTGGGATGACATCCATTCTCATTGAAGAACTGCCTATTATCATGGAGAGATCACCAACCTAGTTGCCAAAACAATGGTGTCCCGCCCCAGCCTGCAGAGCCTACTTCCCCATATAATCTTGGTCCCACCCTATCTAAGCAGCTGGTTTGGAGAGTTTGCAGAGCAGATTTTTGTGGATGACCTGCTGCTCCCCCATGCTGCCAGCAGTATTGGAATAAATGCTCAAATATGATTAAAAAATTTATAATTTAATATTATGAATTGTTCTGATAATTTCGCCCTCCCTGAAAGTAATGGACATACTACCAGCTGCTGGCTGGTTAGTTTCTGATTTGTGAAGTAACTATTTATTCATATATTCCTGCAAACAGCGCACGCGCGGGCGGGGGGGGGGGGGGGGGGGGGGCAAACCTGCACCCAAGAACATGCCCTTGACCAGGAATTGAACCTGCAAGCCTACAGTGTGCCCACTGATGCTCTAACCTCAGGCCAGATGGAGAAGCCCTGTTCCCCTCTCCCTTCTCTCTTTCTCACTGCTTATTCTGGAGGCAGGTAGCTGCCAAGTTATGAGGACATTTAATAGCCTATTGAGAAGCCATATACTGTAAGGAACTAAGGCCTCCTGCCAACAGCCAGGAGGGC